ATGAAAATATATAAGTATATAAAATTAGAACACTTACAGCATTGAAACTCGTTGGTAGATGCAAATCCATGAAGCCTAATTCTATAAGAGAAGCACAGGAATCATTCGACGTTGTTAACAGTCTGCAGCTTACAACTACTAGTATTTTAGTCAAACGCCAAGTCTCCGATTCCTTTCCTTTTTTCCCCCCGATATTGTTCTAGTTTTTGGACCTTAGAATATTGGGCTTTGTAGCCCAAGAATAAGTATCATTCTTTTTTCTTTTAAACTTTTCTTTTTAAATTGGGTTTTTTCTTTTTTTTTAAAAAAATCCTTAAATATTTATATAGAAATGAGAATGTACACTGGAATTGAAAAAAATATTAAAATATATATGACGAATAAGAAAACCATGGTGGTGGCTAGAAAATGAGTGGATAGGATATTAAAAATTTTAATATTTTTTTTAATTTTAATAATTTTTGTGGTTTTGTAATTTTATTTTAGACAAAATTTATAAATGGTGACTAAATTATTAAAATAATTGAATTTTATTTTAGATAAAATATTACTTTGATTTCTGAATTTTGTGGTTATGTTAATTTTTGTTATTTTATTGACGTGACATGTTACTAAAAAAAATTAAATTTTACTTTGACCCCTAAATTCTAGATAAGATATTAATTTGACCAATGAATTCAGTCAAAGTTCACGTTGTTGGTTATCACTCATAATAGTCGGTCGTTGTCCCTGACGGTCGGTGGACCTCAAAAATTTCAATCTATCACTTTTGACCTCCTGAACACGAATCAATATTCATTTCACCGAAAAATAAGAATAAAAATTTTTTTTTAAAATTAAATTAATATAAAAATCGAAAATCAAATTAATTTCTTTTGTAAACACATTAACTTTATTTATTTTTTAATATGTATGTGATATATATATAATCGAATTTTTTTTTATTAAGAACCATATTACTGTAATATTATAACCAAAAGGCACAGTTTTTGTTGTTGTTGTTGAGAATCTGAGAAAGTGCCATGGACGCAGGAGGAAGATCACAAGTTGTTTGATTATATTAAAAAACATGGGTCTGGAAATTGGAGGACACTGTCAAAGAATGCCGGTAAGTATTACCTACTGTTTTGGTTTCTGTTTTCTTTAATGTAATGGTCTTTGTGCTAATTGGTTTCTGTTTTTCTCATAGTACAATAGATCTTCAAAGATGTGGAAAGAGTTGTCGTCTTCGATGGACCAATTACTTAAGGCATGATATCAAGAGAGGGAAATTTTCTTCATGATACTTTTCCTTACTAAGAACAAGAGGGGAAAGCTGTTCTTTTTAATATGTTTCCTCCTGTAGATAGCTTTGTCCATTCATCCTCGGAATTGCAACAGATAATTGCTTCCAACGGGCAGCCCGAGACTTGTCCTGGTGATCATTTATGTCTTTTACGATGCCTCGGTTATCTGAGGCCTGATAGGACCTCAAAGAAGCTTTGGCGATCTTGGCTACTACTCTACCATAAACTGGTTCTTCTTAGTTAGGGCCATAGATCCTGTCCTTTTTTGGCTTGCATCTAAGGCCTTTCAAAACAAGTCATGGATAAAAGTTATTACTTTTCCTGTGCCGTCAACTACACCAGTTGGGTTCTTATTGCTTTTGCCTGTGGTCTTATTGCTTATAGATATTATCGTAGCGGGTGGAGTCGCCATAACTATGTGCTCTCTGGTGCACTTGATGTTGGATTGGCCTTAGTTGGTGGGGAGGCGGTTCGGATCATTCTCTGTTGGTTTCTTGCCCAACCGCCCAATGGATCATAGTTAAAGGCTGCCCAATGGATCATAATTTAAAATTTATTGAAAATAAAAAACTCAAATTTCAAAATAGGCATAATTAAAATTTTAAATGAGTATAATCAATAAAACAGATGACCAATAAAAAAAGTTCTCATAAATAATTTTTTTAACGTATGGTTGCAAATTAAACAGGAGATGAATCCATGTGGGATTATTAATTATTAGAATTAGCTAATCACAGCAACGTGAACAGAATGACTAACAAACCATCACCATTCACAGCTCATGAATATCAATTCCCATCAAATTTCTCAGACTTAAAGATTACGTGCCGCTGCCGCCGAACTTTGACTATTATGGCTATGATCAACATCATCGAACCCTCATGGATCCTTCATTACCTGATACCTCAAATTTTCAATCCAACAAGTAACTCGAGTTTCAATTTAATTTTTTTATTTATTATATTAATTTTAAATTTTATTTTTCAAAAGGTTTGATATTTTATCTTTATTTTTCAGTGTAACTAACATTGGATTTGTGTTCGAAAAGCCAAAAAGGGGTGAATTGGAAATTTTGGGATCTAACAGTCATATATGATGACCGGTGACAACAATCGACTATGATATACAATGATGATGAGCGGTAGCCAATGACAAGAACTTTGACTGGATTTGAAGTTAAATTGATATTTTATATAAAGTGTAAGTGTTGAACGTAAAGTTTAAGGTCAAATAGTATTATGTCTAAAATTCATGGGTCAAGTTAAAACTTAACCATTTTTACTAACGAACGTGATACGACAGATAAAAAACAAAAGGCTTAAAAAATTAGCAACCCAATTATATATTTTTTATTTAACTGCCTAAACTATTTTTCAGTCAATCTAAATGCCTAACATTACAAACGTTACCATTTTAAATATCCGACTATAATGGATGTTAAAAAATCTCGTCCCCTCCCCTCCTCCCTCCCCTCCTCATCATATGACATCGATATCTTAGTTGCATTTGACGCCATTCGGGTGGCTGTATCAACAGTGGAGATTCAATCGAAGACAACGACGACAAACAATAATGACCGACGTGGGTATAAGAATTTAAATAACATTTTTTAAAGTTTTAGGGTTTTTTTAAGATTTTAAAAAAAATTAATTTTTTTAAAAATAAATTATATTTTTAAGTTTTTTATTTTAAATAAAAAATTTATAAATTATCATAACGTGACACATGTCACTTAAAGAAATTTTTTATAGCCGTTACGGTCGGGACACTTATATTGATAATATTTATAACGTTATGCATCAGAATTTATCGAAAAATAATTTAGACACTTAAATGGAAAAAACAATATAGTTTAAGTATTTATTTTACATTAAGCTAAAATAAAAGTGACTAAAACTAAACTTTTTCAGAATCGATAATTAAAATTGAATGTGCCAAAAAACATAAGAACCATAGGTATTGTTTTCTCAATAGATTAAAACGTAGTATGTATGTCCGGATTCTCTTTCTTACTATTTCAATAAAGTTGGTGAAAAATAGTTATCTTTATGCCTTTTCACTAACTTTTCTTCTACACTAAACAAACTCAAAATCTCATTTCTTCTTACTTTTCCATCTTTCTATATTTATTCTACCTACCAAAAACTCCACATCATTGACAAATAAAAGAATATATTTAAAGATAGAATAGGAAAAAAACAAGATTGTATTTTTATTTCCATTGTTTTTATTGGTAGAAAACAGAACAGAAAAGAAAAAATAAGATTAAAGAAAATGGAAATCATATTTTATTATTACACCTTTTATAAATTAAAATAAATAAAATATAAAAGGCTATACATAGTAAAAACATTTAACTATATAATGTTATCATTTTAATTTAGAATAAATTTCCTATCAAATAATAAAAAATTCACTTTTTTCTAAGAAAGTTTCACCAAACTCTTCCCTAGTTTCATTTTAACGCTCATGGTTAAAAAAATGGTAAATATATATTTTAGTATCTGAATCTAATTTTAAGGTATAACTTGTTATGAATTTATTTTTCAATTAGATGCCTAAATTTAATTTTAAGATTCAATTTGGTATCTATTTTTTTTTCTGATTTGATGTCTAAATTTTTTTTTTAAAATCTAACTGATACATGAACTTAACTTCTTAATCCAAATTATTTATTATAGATACCAATTGGATAAAAGTAAAAAGACATAAAATTAAATCAATAAATTCAGTTCGAATATACTATTAAATTAAAAGCTAATATCTTAAAATTAAATTTAAATACCAAAATATATATTTAACCTTAAAAAAAATTCTCTACATCTAGTCATACAATAATATTTTTCAATTTAATTAAAGAAATAATTTAACTTTAATTAGTGTCCAGTTAAAGCTCAAAAAAACGACTAAACATTGAAAACTAAAACCAAAAATTATTGGCCGGATAAATCTCAACCATACAAAACCTTTCATATGCCACGTGTCACGCCAAGTGAAATGGAGACACTCGTTGTGGGCAAACTGATTGGCAGCTGCTGGGATGCTGCTCTACCAAATATACAAAAGAATTGGAAGAATTGGAAGAAGTGAAAGAAAATGTCAAATTTTGGTTTTGGTCCTTATGATATTTTTAAATAAACTTTAGTTTTTTTTTCTTTAACATAGTAGTATAATTTAGTATTCGATTTAAATAGTATCATTCATCAATTCAAATAATTTACTATTTTAAAATAGTAATGTTATATTCAAAATACATCATCCAACTCATTATAATGCCATTAGTATTAAATAGTTTTAGCCGAAATAAAAAAACAGACTCATGTTATTATCTTTGTCCCACTAAATTTATTTTTATTAATTTTTTTAAAATCAAAATTTTTAACTTTAATTATAATTATTTTAATAAATTAAATTTTATAAAATATACATTTCAAAATTACTTAATTAAAGTTTTTAAAATATATTTTCATTTTTTATCAATAATAAATCAAAGTTAAAAAAATTAGAAAAAATTAATAGGGGATAATTTAAATGACATGATTGTAAAAGTTGAACACTGAATTAAGTAAAATTTAAACATAGTAAAAGGATTAAAATCATAATTTGACATAAAAAGGAAAGAATACGAAATGTATCAAATTCCAGCTAGAGAGTAGCGCCTCACAAGAAAAACATTCTGTTGTTTGTTAAATAAAAAAACACGAGATCTTAGCCAGATCTCTCTCAATCGTATTAGGGCATTTTCCCTTTCCTTCCTCGTACGTCTTTAGCTGGAAAAAGAAGAAGAAGGAAAAAAACAAATTAGGGCTAGAAAACCAGATCTCTCCCAAGCATTCGATGGAAGCTCAATGAAATGCATTGATGCACTGAGAATATGATTTTTGGACGGATTTTGGAGCCTTTTTGATTGATTCTTTTTTCTTCGAAACGGGTGTCCTATGGAGTCATCTATTTGGAGTCGCAATGCCAATCCAGATGTGTTTCACTTCCTTGTGGCTGTTCACTTCGCTCTCGGTTTCGTTGTCGCCAGGTTCTTCCTTGACAAATTCATTTTTCGTGTAAGATTTGTCTTGCCTCTTTCTTTGTGTCTTTTTTTTTCATTTGATGTGGATTCCTGATTTTTTTTTTCTTTAACTCTCCATTGTTTTTTTAATTTTATAATATTTCGTTTTTTTTTGGGCATAAGCTATACGAAATTCTCTAATTCGATTGAGATTCATTGTATCCTAACATAGTGTTTCCAGTTTTGGTTGATTAGCGAGTTTTTTTATTTATTGATATATCAGTAAAGTAAGTTAACTTTAGTGGTTTAGCTTAATTAATGGTGGGGTGACTCTAGTCTGCGTCTAAATTTTTTAAAGAAGTTGATGTCACATCTGAAAGAACAACAATAGATAAGAACGAAAGAATTGTAAGAATAAAGAAGGTAAAGGAAAATAAGAGATGATTAATAGTAACCAATTAGGCTTGGAAATTGAATGTTTTAAGGATAATATGGTCACATCTAAGGTGAACTTCAAGGATCTGTTCATATGGGAGAATTAACTTTTTATTGAATTGTTTGATTAGAGAATTTGTCCTCAACTGTTGAAAGTTTGTGGAAGAAGCATATGCTTGTTAATTGAAGTGGTGATAAGGTTGTTTTTGATGCATTGGATTATGAATAGTATAGGATGTCACAGGATGGGATGGGATATGAGTTATATTTCATTGCATAACTTTTGAATATGCATGGTTGAAATGTTAACAGCTTATGATGCAACATCCTGTTCGTGTTGAATTACTCAAACCTATGGAGAGAAAGGTAGGAGGGAGTGTACAATTCTACATGGATAGGATTATGTTGGATGAGATGAGAAGTGAGAACATTTTGGTCATAAAGAAAATATGGATGAAGATTATTTACTTTTGTCTTATCCTATCGTAGTCTTAATCTGTTGTACCTCAATGCAACCAAAAATATAATTTCTTCTGCTATAGGGCTATTGCAGTTGTTGTGCAGTGTAAATGCTTCTTCTTTTCTCCCTTTTTTTGCTTATCGTGAGAAATGTGTGGGGACGAGTGCGGATGCCATATGTTACTTTTCTAAAGTTTTAAGAAAACCTATTGCCATATTTGTGGCATTGGTGGTAACAAACAGTGGGTACTGGGTACATGAAGCACGTCATTTTTGTTGATACATTTTAATTTTTCTTCATTCCTTTTAGAGGTTGGCCACCTGGATGTTGTGTAATGGATCCGCTCCTTTGAAGATGAATGATGCCACAAGAGCAAAAGTTGCGAAATGCTCAGAATCTTTGTGGAAGTTGGCATACTATGCTACTGTTGAAACATTTGTTCTGAAAATAACCTACAGTGAGCCATGGTTCATAGATACAAAAGAGTATTTCAGGGGCTGGCCAGATCAAGAGTTGAAGTGAGTAACCTTGTTTGTAAACTTATACCCAATTGTTGTATTTTTCAATCTCATATTTGGCTAGTGTGCAGTTACATGTACCTCTTTACGAATTACGAGGTGAATTGTCTTTTTTTTATTAACCGACAGAAAGTTATTGTTCATCTTGGATGTCAAGGATGTATGTTTCTGATCTCTAAAATTACATTGCATAAAGGCTCTTTTCCTGTTTGTGATTATTCCTTGAGAGATGGGACGAATCATCTCTTGTTCTTGTCTTTAGCTGTTGGAAAGACATGTATACTGAAAGGAAAAGGAAAAGGAAAAGGAAAAAAAATTCCCGTCATATTTTCCTTTTGCTTAATTGAGACCATTAATTATTTTAATATACATGTGAACTCTGAATTTTACTTCTCGAAAGCTTACCTTTTTCTTACTTTGAAATTAATTGCAGACATGTTTGTAAAGAAAAGATGATACTCGTTCACGTGTACTGTTTTGTCAAGCTATGGTGAATGCTTAGTAGTTCTTGTATTGATGTAGTTGTAAGAATCTGCATCCAATATCTGATTGTTATTGTTGACTTCTTGTTGTTGTGGCCATTCTTGTCTAGACTTTAGCTCATTTGTCCTCCTCGATGATACTAATCTTAACCTTTTCTCTTCACTATTAGAAGGTAAACTATACTCAACTTGTTCTTATTATATGCAGACAAGTCCATTGTCTTGTTTTATTGTGCTTTTACTTGATCGTTTAGTTCTCATTGGTGTTGGGGCTAAATGTTCCCATTTTTTCTTTCAAGTGCATGTATCAGTCTTGACTATGGAGTATCATGCTGGTCACCATCTTAAGAGAAAACAATATCTCATGGCATGTTATTCTACTTTCAAGGAAAATATCTGCATTATCGGTGTTTTAGTTGAAACGTGTGGCTTTCCTTATACATTCCCCAACACATGTTCTTTCTCTTTAAATTTCCTTCTTTAATTGCTGTCTTGAATCTTGGAAGGATTAAGCTTTGTTATACCTTCTGGCAACCTTTTTGAAAGCTAACATCTTTTTGTTCAGGCTTTCCCTAAGCCTTTTCTACATGTGCCAATGTGGGTTCTACATCTATAGCATTGCTGCACTACTTACTTGGGAGACTCGAAGGAAGGATTTTTCTGTGATGATGTCTCATCATGTAATTACTGTAATGCTGATAGGATACTCATACATTGGAAGGTAATTTGCCCATTTCTGTGGAAGTGCACCAAATTGCAAGTCATTACCACATGGCAGACTGGCAAATATTCATTTGGTAGTCATTGTTGCTTACCTCTTTGGTATTTTCTGGAATCTCATTGGATCTTTTATCTCCAAATTGCATAATACATATACTCTAAAGTATGTTTGCTTTGTTTATGCATATACTGTGCGTACAGTAGCTGATCACATGGTCAAATTGTTACATGCCACTGTTGACTGGTATGGTTTCAAATATTGTGGTGTATTCCCATCTTTTGGATAATTAGTAGTTTTTACAGAAGACATCCTGGAAGCTTTGCTATTTCATATAAGAAGAAAGCTTATGCATCTTTTAAATATTGTGCGACATGTCAACTTTTTCATCAACTCTGGTGAAAATGCAGTTGTTTTTCACTCTGTTCTTCACTGCTTTGATGATGTCATATCCTCTCAGCATTTTTTTACTGTTGCTAGTTAGCGAGATGTCATTATCTTATTGTTGACTGAAGTCAAAGAGAGGTATTTCTATCAAGTTGTTTAGGAATAGATGCTAACACCAAAATATAGGAGTATAATAGAGTTCTTCGAGGGAGAACATAGCCATCGAGTATTTTAAAGCTTTCTTTGTACAAGTTAGTTTCATCAGTTAAATTTACTTGTGGATATCCAAGTTGGAAGATGATGATAGCTTACCTTGTTTACAGCTTTTTCCGCATCGGTTCAATTATCCTTGCCCTACATGATGCAAGTGATGTGTTTTTGGAAGCAGCTAAAGTTTTCAAGTATTCCGAGAAGGAGCTTGGAGCAAGTGTGTGCTTCGGATTATTTGCCATCTCTTGGCTCTTGCTACGTTTGATCCTCTTTCCATTTTGGGTCATTAAAAGCTCAAGGTTTGGTCTTTATAGTTCATAGTTTGATTTTACTACATTACTATACACTGGCTGATCATGTATCTACTCTTGTGGTTTATCTCTCTCAGCTACGAGGTTCGGGAGTTTTTAGATCTTTCAAAGTCATATCCCACATCCCTGTACTATGTTTTCAATACCATGTTACTGATGCTACTTGTGTTCCATGTCTACTGGTGGTTTCTCATTTGCTCAATGATCACGAGACAATTGAAAAATAGAGGAAAAGTTGGGGAAGACATTAGATCTGGTAAGTCCTTTTCTATCCATCACCCCCAAATAACACTAATAAAAGGGGGGGGGGTCAATTTGCCTCTCGTTCTATGATATTTGGAGATTGTCTGAACTTTTATCATTTTATTCTTTGGAAATTGTAGAACTTCTCTTTTCTGTTGTTATTTGTTACAAGGAACTGTTAAAACTTCTCTCTCTTCCTGAAAAATAAGTCGTAGAAGAAAAGAGGTCAGAACATGAAAGCATTGGAATTTTAAAATTTCTTGATAGCAAGATGGTACTAAAGCACCTTAGATAAATACTAATTATTTGTTACAAAATAAAAGAACAGCATTCGAATATTAAATGCATCCAGTGACATCATTTAAGTTCAACTTGAAGGGAAAGTAAAAGGATAAAGTACAATAGTTTGACTTGAATTAATAGGAAGAAGACCTGCAGCTTGACTTTGTATTCCATGTTGCCAGCTTAACTTGAAATGTTTAGACTTGTAAAACAAGTACAATATTAACTGAAATGTTCTCTCTTTTGAGGCATTTGTCCCGAAATAGTGATTAAAACACTTGCTCTCTCATTACCATAGAATTGTTTTTTTATTTATTTCGACTTGTTTGCTTTTCTTTGTTGAAATGCAGACTCCGAGGATGATGATTAGACAGAAGATTTCACAATCCTTTTTTATTTTTACCTGAGGAGATCACCTGTTTTAGGTTCGTCTCTGCACTGTAATGGTCATTACATTGGGTAGAAATTCTCTATTGGTTTCAATTTTTCTAATTGATTCTTCTCTGGGTCGGAGGGTGGACGATGAATCCACTTCTTGATTTCTTTTTGATGTATAAGTAATAGGCAAATCACTGTAAAAGTTTTATCTGGATAAATTAATGTTGTGAGATTCTCAGTCATCATAAGGGGAAATGAATACAGGGGCTAAAGTGAAGCAAATGCCCATATTTTTGTTGAATTGTCAGTTTCTCTTTGCTAGCATTAATACTGGACGCAATACCAACTTGAAGTCAGATTTGAAATAGTATTAACACGAGAAACCTTATAGCATGGAATCAATTCATTTCTTCTCATAATTCCTCAAATCTCTTCTTATTCTGTACATGGTAACAATTGTTATCAACAAAGCATTGATTAACCTAATGATTGTGGACTTTGGTGAAGTACTATGAAGCATTGAGATTGTGCTGATTGAAATCAGTAAGTGTCGAAAGAAGATTTCACCGGAAATATTGTTGTCACTTATGTCCATCTTCGACAGCGACTTGATGTTAAAGATTTTTCTTATAAGTTTCACTAGAAAATTTGTTCAATGTACTGCCTGCTCATGCTAGCGATGTACCTGCAAGTATTTTGAAAAAAATATCAAATTTTAATTTTGGTCCCTCTTATCATACTAAGTTTGACATTAAATATTTTTACTTTAAATTGATAGAGATCAATTCATTTGTTACAATCTTACTAGTTAGTCTAAATTGTTAATACTGTTCATTATTCTTGTTAATATGTCAAATTTAAATTGATATAATTTATTTTAGAATTTCAAATAATAAACTGTTCTATATAGTCATTACTTGTGATCCATGTTTCATGTGTTGAAGAAGTGTTTATAATTTAATTTATGCACCAATTATTGTTTTCTTCTTACTCGAAACAATTTCTATTATGTTTGAAATATTATATATCTTTATGATATTTTTTATTCGTTTAATATCTAACCATCACAAACCCTAAACTTATATATCTTTATATGGTTTTATATAAATTATAATATTAAACTATGTATTCTTATATTTTTACCATAACTAAAAGATAATTATAACCTTAAACTCTAATATATTAATAAATCAAAAAAATATTCAAAATAAAATTAATAAAAATATATAATAACTTAAGGACTTATTTTAATAAAAAAATATTTAAGGAGCAAATTTAAAAAATGGTCATCTTTCGAGACCTTTTTTTTACAGTTAAATCTTAAATTTAATACCTAAACCACTAATTCGATTGTAAAATCATAGTGGTTTTAGGGTTCATAAAACAATTCCTATAGGATCGGGTCCTTCAAAGATTATGTCATCTCAACAAAAAGCATATTTCATAGAAAGTGTATCGTATATACATTAAATGATTTTTATAAAAAGTATTTTCGTCGGAAGGATGCAATCAAGTTTTTTTATCACCTAGAATGGGGTAATATATAGTTATGTTAGAATTTTTTTGATTATTTAACAATAAATACTAATATCTCTTTATATTCTTATATTTAAACTTGAGACTCCAAATTATAATAAGGGTAAAATATAGTAATGGTCACTGAATATTTTTGAAGCTTGCATTTGGTCCCCCAACTTTTAAAACTTGCAATATAGTCCCCCAACATTTATTCCGTTTGCAATATGGTCCCTCAACTTAAACCACTGTTAGAAAATTAGGGTAACGGTCATTGAACTTTTCAGACACTTGAATTTAGGTCTCCCAACTTTTAAAACTTGTAAACAATCCTCAATTTCATTCTAAACCCTAATTTCCAAAGTAATTCAATTTCATTCTAAACCCTAAATTCCAAAATAATTCAATTAAAATTTAAACCCCAAATTCTAAAATACTTCAATTTAAGGTTTAGAATGTAATTGAATTATTTTAGAATTTAGGGTTTAGAATGAAATTAAGGTGTTTTGAAATTTTGAACATGAATTTACTATTTGACAATATTTATTTCAATATAAATTTGAGGTTTGTTTAACTATTTATATCAATTTTGAATAACAATATGCATTGATTAAACATCCCGAATAGCAAAATGGAAGCACTCTATTCGGTATTTCATCTTCCCATAAACTCTGCTCATTTCTTCAACTTTTGACTATATGAAATTCGGAACACTCATTTGGAGCATTATGATTTAAGTACCAATATGTTCTTGCATGCTATTTTTTTATCAGATTTGAGTACCTAACCCTTCAGTGCTTTACAGTGCGATCATTTATGATTCACCTGAATTTGCTCATACAGTGATCATTTATGATTTAGTAGAATCAATGGTTTAGAATGAAATTAAATTACTTTGGAAATTGGGGTTTATAATGAAATTAAGGATTGTTTACAAGTTTTAAAAGTTGGTAGACCTAAATTCAAGTGTCTGAAAAGTTTAATGACCGATTATATAATTTACCCTAATTTTCTAACAGTGGTTTAAGTTGGGGGACCATATTGCAAACGGAATAAATGTTAGGGGACTGTATTGCAAGTTTTAAAAGTTAGGGACCTAAATGAAAACTTTAGAAATGTTTAGTGACCATTTATACTTTACCCTAATAATAATAATAATAATAATAATAGTAATAATAATAATAATCTTTCCATCACTAAAATTATTTGATTCTTCTATTAATAATTAATTTTAAATAAGTATCGTAACTATATTTTTTTAAAATTTGAAGTATATTTGAATAAAAAAATCTCTAATATGACAACGAATTTGATTATTTTAAAAAGAAAAAAGAAACTTGAAAGGATCCCACGAATTGAAAAATGAAAAATACTTTTTAAATATATAAAGAAAAAAAATAAACGAGAGAAATAAGCCACGTCATGTCTAAAATAAGCTATGTTGACACCGTACCTTGAACATTTCCCAGATCTATTTTCCGTCCTCTAAATAACTGGTGGCTGCCGTCGCTGCTCGAGGGAAAGGAAAAAAGATAAGTATCCCAATTTGCGGAGAAAGAACGAAGGAGAGGAAGAGCCGCGGTGGCAGAATTTTGATCTATATGGCCGCCCCTCTTTCCTCTTATTCCCTTTCCCTTACTTTTCTTTCCAAACACGTCCCATTATTCCAAAGCCCAACCTCTTTCTTCCCTCTCCTTTCATCTCTCCTTTCCGCTCTCTCTCCCATACCAACCCTACAAAATCCCGCAAAACTCCTCTCCTCGCTTCCTCTTCCTCTAATTCCGATGCTTCTCCTTTCCACGATGAGCTCGGTTCCAATCCCACTCCTTCTAAGGTAAGCTTTTCCGTAAACAAGTTTCAATTCTGGAGAGTTGCCTTTTTTTTGGATTTCGGGATTTGGATTGAATTTGATCATTTTAGGTTTATGATTTAGAAATTGATTAATTGAGTTTTAGCGATTTTTCTTTCAGAAATCTGCCCTTACCAATCTGATACATGAGATAGAACCATTGGACGTTAGCCTTATCCAAAAAGATGTCTCCCCTACAACCGTGGATGCCATGAAAAGGACTATTTCAGGCATGTTAGGTTTACTTCCTTCTGATAGGTTTCAAGTCCTTATCGAGGCACTATGGGAACCTCTCTCAAAATTGTTGGTTTCTTCTATGATGACTGGGTATGTTCATATTCCATTTGATGTGATGTGCTTCATTATATTAAACGTTTCTATACTCTGGTAGTCTGGTTAGTTGCGAAAAAAGAAGAAACCTTGTTTAGGGGCTTTATATATCTCCCTGCTTGTTGCGATAGTTTCAATTCTTGTTGGCGAGTGTCGGATATGGGTATATGTTGGACACTGATATATTTAACTTTTTAATAAGTTTTTCTCTGTATTTGGAGGGGTCCTTGGGGTCATATGCGGTGTACTTTTTACTATAAAAGTTAAGAATCGGAACAAGATAACTTGGTGGACATGCCTTTGCAGCTCGACTTATTAACTACACCATGACTTCGTTCACCTCACTTTTAGGAAGAAAAAAGTTGATATTCATATTAACGTTTGTTTTGCTGAAAAGTCAAAACTTAAGCTCATCTGTATCATGCCAAACTTGACTCAATGTATATTCGTTTGCCACTAGAATTTAAAAGCTGAATCTTGATGGTGAATTTATCCCCTCCATGCATGTATTTCACATTTACATCTATGTTTTCGTAATGTGGGATCATCACTTTAGCATTTATCTTCTATAGTTGTACTATGAAACACGCAGAGTAGCATTTATCTTCGATAGTGTCTGTTAGATATTGGGGTTATCATGAATAATAGTTCTTCTTGAACTACAGTTATACTTTGAGGAATGCTGAATATAGGCTTTGCCTTGAACGGAACCTTGGTTGTGAAGGAGATTTGGAAAATCAATCCTCAGAAAAGTCTAACTACGATTTACAAGAGATGTTACTAGACAGTACAAAAATAAATGAACTTTTTGAGAAAAATGATTTGTCATCTGAATCAGAAGAAACCAATAAAGAGCAATTTGAAGATATAGACATTCAAGCCCTGGGTGAAATGTCCCTGGAAGCAAGGAAATACATTCTTCACTTGAAGTCCCGTCTAACTGCAGCGAAAAAGGTATGCTTCAGCATATCGAGGAGCCTCACATGGTTTGTTTTTCCAGTTAGATTATGAAGTATGAATTATTTGCTTGATGCATTGTCTGGATAAAGTCACCTTTACTTTTTGTGTGAGTTTGTAATTAGAAACGCATCATAGCTTGCATCAAAAGATGCTAGAAAGGCCTAAAATATGCCATTATCTCTATTTGACTGTGCCCTGAACAAATCTGAACCTTTCTTTGACCCTTTTTAATTCCTCTTTTGGCAGATATGATATGATATCCATATTTTTGAAACTTAGTAGACATTCTCCCTTGATAGACTTTATTTTTCATTTGGGATAGGATATTAGGCCAACTTGTTCTGTCACGCATTCCAAATTGTTGGTAATCTCTCTATGAAAGAATTTAGATGTGCTGGAAAACAGAAGTATTAATTGTACTTATATGTTAGACGTGTCAACCAGATTAACTGAAAAGATCAGTCAATGGAAAAATATGAGGGAACAAAAAGCTAAATTTAAGATGCCACTTGTGTCTTTCTTCATAGTTTTATATTTTGAGAGTTAATCCCCATGAAAGTATTGGTGAGTGGTGAATTTCTGGCTTTGCAAAATCTACATTGCGTGAGATGTATGTTCCATGGTTTATTAGGTTCAAATGTTAACAT